TAGAGCTAGACTTGGGGGCTTGATCCCTACATCATTAGCTTACCTAGCCTAAGAGTCACCACCATTTGACTCTTTTAACAAATAATATCTTTCCACACACTTAGCTCTTGCGGCCTAATTTTATTGTCACTTTCACACACATCACAAATACATGACCAAATATACTTCCCTTAGGAACCCTTTGTCATGAAATCTTAACATAACGCTGCAGCATGCCTTGTGATATCAACATCACTCATCAGTCATAATTGTCATTGCATATCGAAGTATAAAGTGCTTAGCCTCTGTGCCTAAGTTACCCAAATACTTTCATCAAGGAGTCAACCATTAAGATAGCCTAGGATGGATTAATCCTTTCACCTTGAGAGATAGTATCAAACAACATTTGACTAAGCTCGTTCAACATGCATCTTTAAGCACTTCGATTATTTTTTCGCGTCTTTCTTTTTCGGGAGAAAGTCGGTACCCTCCACAAAAATGACGGAAATTTTTTTCTTTTTTGCATTTTCGAATCACACGATCACATTACAATGCACACACGAGTCATGTACACAATGAGTCACACGTGTCATTTCACTTCGAGTCAAGTCAACCTCGAGTCAGTCAATCACATCGAGTCAAGTTTATACCATGAGTCGTGTCAAGTTATTGAGTCAAGCAACATTAAATCTTAGGTCAACCCTAAGATGATTAAAGAAATTGGAAAAGTTCTATAGTAAAAAATAAATACAGGTGCAGCAGAATAGGGAAGACTCTATCACAGCATTCGGCGACAGAGTCAATTCTTGACGTCAGAGATATCTGAGCAATGATAGAGCTCGAAGCCTCTTAGAAAGGTGATTTCAATCTTATACAGCAATTTCGGGTTCCTTGGTACGCCAGTTAGCGCCTATAAGCAATTTGACATGATTAAGTAGTCAGTTTGATTACAATCACAATAAGTGGTCGACCTGATGAAAGATCGTCTCACTTAGCTTAAAATGCCTAAGAATTGGCTCATCACGGAAACACCGACATACTGGTTTTAGCGAAAGCAAAGTTCAGGCGAGCTTTAGAGATCGACAAACGTTGGTCTTCGGAAATTTTTCTTCAGAATATTATCGCACCAAACACTCAAGTACCGAAGCTCTATTATTCAGAGACGCGTGAACATCTCCATCAAAGCTGTTTTGCTCCAGAGACGCGTGGGCATATCATTCAAGATCTATTGTTCAGAGACGCGTGGACATATCATCAAAGCTCTTTTTTTCAGAGACACGTGGACAATCCTATTCGAGCTCTTTTGTTCAGAGACGCGTGAACATTTCCACAAGCTCTTTTGTTCAGAGACGCGTGGACAATCCTTTTCAAGCTCTTTTGTTCAGAGACGCGTGAACATTTCCATCAAGCTCTTTTGCTCCAAAGACACGTGGGCATCCTATCATTAAAAGCTCTTCGTTCAGAGACGCGTGGACACATCATTCAGAAGATCATATCAAAAAGAAGCTCTTTGTTCAGAGGTGCGTGAACATATCCTAAAAAAGAAAAGAAGCTCTTTGTTCAGAGACAAGTGAACATCAAAACAGCAAGGTGGCATTCCCTAGATTGTGGAGAGTTGTCACAAACAACTAAGGATTGTTTCAAGAGAAGCAATCTTCGATGGTATTCCCTTGGACGTGGAATATTATCATAGCGGAGGGGAATCGTTTCAGGCGAAGCAGTCTTCTAATTAGGAAGCAGTTACGAGCGTAGCGGTTTTCAAGCGGGATGGCATTTTCTAGCTTGTAGGAGGTCATCAAAACATTCAGTTACTTTCAGAGACGTGTGCTCGACGGTGCAAGATACGCGTTTCTTAACTCTTTTATCTGTTTAACTAACGCTAGTTTTGCAGGTATCGGCGTTATAAGAGTGATTTAGGATCGCAGAACATTCTGAATCATTATCCGTCCCTATCGATACTTTGACTTTTGTTTTCGAAACTCGCGTTTCTCCAAACTCAGTCAAAGGGGGGGCTTCTGTAGACACCCATTTGTGTCTCCCCAAAACCAAACCCGGTGATGAGTACCTTTCACGTCGAATCATAATCGAATGAAGTGAAAGTGTGGAAATTCTAGTGTTGCGGATAGTTTTAATTTATTTTCTCTTCTCTCTGTTTTTGAAAACTTATTTTAAGAAAACAGCCAATCCAGTTTGGTTGGTCCATGATATAAGTCCAATAGTAGTGTAGTTGGATGGGGCTTGACAAGAGCTTTCCAATGATATATTATAAGCCCAATTCCGATGAATAATGAGGAAGTTATGGCCAATTTAATAAACTGGGCCCGGTTTGAGCCTTATATGCGGCCCAATGATCTAGAGGAGGGCCTAATATGATTTATCATTCCTAATGAAATTAGGAATGGTTTTAGTCTTCAAGATTCTTCTAGAAGGTTCTTTTCATTCCTAATTCAATTAGCATTGATAAATTGACTTTTGTTGACTGTTCGGAGTTTTAATTAAAATCAAAGAGCATTTTTGAGGAAAATATACGATTTTATCCTCCTGTATGGCAAAATTTATCATATTTTAGAAAACGCGTTAAAAACAAGATTGGCGCCTAACGCCAGGCATTGGCACTTGGCGCCAGCATTGGCGCCTAGCGCCAATGGCCAATGGCTGGCGCCGATCTCGTATTGCATGCGCCGGACTCTGTTTTGTTAATTTTATCTTTTTGGCTGATTTTCTCTATAAATAACGTATTAAAAACTCCATTTTCATTCACCAATTCTCATCAATATTCACCTACAACCAGTTTTCATTCGCAATCATTAATTCTCTTATTCTCTTCTCATTCACCATCTCTCTTTCTTTCTCTTTTCCTAAACTTGCTTTCACATACATAATTCCGCATTCACAAGATCTAGAAACACCTAGCCATATTCGAAGTTGCCTTCGTCCTAGATGTGAAAGGTTTAATTTCTGAGGGTTTGGTCCCAAATCTCTATTTCAATTATTTAATTCAATTGTTTGTTTTATTATTTTCCTTGAAGTTACTAACGTGTATATTTTGTTATTAGAAAGAGGTACAAGGCATCAAAGTAAGTACTTTAATAGTTTTAATTGATATTATGATGTAGAAATCATGTTTAAATTGTTATTATGATATTCCTAGTATCATGTTTAGGGAAAAGGTTATAATATCAAATATGCTTATTATGATTCCTGCGATGCCTTTTATCTTCTTCCTAATATTTATGATTGTTAGTATCATGTTAGGGTCAAAGATTTGATTTTTATTGCTTAGTGACATGCTAGGGTTTGTTATTAATCTTGTTACTATCATACCTAGGACCTTGCTATTATTATTATGCTTTAATATTAACATGAACATGATTATGATTATAATTGTTATAATATATGAGGATTATGAATATTATTATTATTATTATTATTTTGATGATGATTATTTTATTTATGATAATAATAATAATAATATTATTATTATTATTATTATTATTATTATTATTATTATTATTATTATTATTATTATTATTATTATTATTATTATTATTATTATTATTATTATTATTATTATTATTATTATTATTATGGTTGATTGATTATTATGTGATGCTTGATGTTTATTGTTATTGCTTGATCACACCTTTTATGTATGTTTAAAGGGAATTGGTACTTGTAATCACGCTTAATAAGATAATTGATAATCTTGTTAGAGTTAATATTATTATAATTTTAAGTGATCACCAATAATAGATTTGTTTGTGCATTATATTCAACCAACATAGATTAAACAGGTTTAAGGTAATCCTATTGATTACATGTTAGTCAGAAAGCGCACATGAATACGATAATAATAAAGTAGAGGCCTATTATTAGGGTAGATTCAATCTCTTTTAGGTTGGATTTTTACCTTCATCCCCGAACCCTTATTTGGTTCTAGACCTTATGGAGTTGACGATCTCTTGGATCGTTAAGGGGTGTAACCTTCATCCCATGAACGGTTTACAAGTTCTTAAAACTTGTTGGCGACTCTTTTGCTCTATCTTCTTCCCTTTTGGACGCCACTGTACTTTAGTGTATGATCACAGTGGGGTTCAAGCTAGGGGTTTAACGCTTGAAATTATTCCCTACGGTTATTGATTGAAGATTTCTCCATTTCCTTTGATCTTTGATCAAGTTTGTAAGGATTCCTTTTCTTTACTTTAATCTTAAGTTTGAACTTTAGTTTGATTTCAATTGTTTTGTCCAAAGTTCAAGTTTGATTGAATTTTGATTGATTTGTGATTTTATTTTAGCTTGTTTAATTTTATCATGATGAATTTGTTGTTTAGCCTTGTTTTGATCTTGATTTCAATGGCTAGTGAGTAGTTTTCTTGCTAGGGTAATGGTGAAGCATGTATGAGTAATGGATTGATGTTAATTTGGGGAAATTGATGATGTGATTAAATTGGTTAATTGATTATGTGCATGTGTGTGTTTGATTTAAGCTTGATCACCCTAGTTATTCACACTAGATTGCATTGTAGGTTCACATTTATATGGACCATTGATTTGTGGCTTGCATTTAACGATTGAGGTGTCTGGTGACGTTCCTAGCTAGAGTTTATCGTAGTTGACGCTAGTTAGACCTCTAGGAAAATATCTTTATATGCTCTTTTGGTTGCATGATTTGTTTTCCCTCGCATCACTCGACTTAGTCAATTCTTTCCCAATTAGCGGAAACCGTTACAAGTATATATGGATCCTGAGCCCTAGTGTTCATTACATTTGTCAAAACTTAGCTTGACTAGTTTTTTAGCATTCACACCCTTAGCTAACCTTTCCGGAATAGCTTGACTTGGCAATATAAGATCACTTTCCATTCCTTAGTGGTTCGACCCTCGACTTACCATTATACTTGTATAAGGGTGTGTTGAGAGATTATAAAATTTTTTTGGCCTTGGGTTGGAGTTAGTTTCAACGACCTAGCTTCAACCCTCGTCACCAAGACACTAAATGGGGCTCAAAAGAATTACACAACAATGGAAAAGGAATTTTTGGCCATTGTTCATTCTCTTGAGAAATTCCGTTGTTATTTGTTGGGTTCCAAGACTATTGTCTTCACGGATCATGCGGCTCTCAAGTAATTCTTTGCCAAGAAGGAGTCCAAGCCTAGGTTGATTCGTTGGGTGCTTGAATTACAAACTTTTAAAAAAAGAGATTAGGGATAAGAAGGGTGCAGAAAATGTTGTGGCGGACCATCTTTCTCGCCTTGAGGGTGATCAAATTCATGATTATGGTTCACCAATTGAAGATAGAATGCTTGATGATTTCTTGTATGCTATTGAGGTAAAGGAGCTCCCTTGGTTTGCTGATTTGGTGAAGTTTCTAGCATGTGGGGCGTTTCCACCTTCTTTCTCCAAGAACCAACGAAAGAAACTCAAGAGGAAGGCAATACATTACTTGTGGGATGATCCCATCTTGTATAAACAAGGGGCTAATGGCTTTCTTAGGCATTGTATTCCAAATGAAGAGGTGCCTAGTGTTCTAAAGATGTGTCATTCGGATCCTAGTGGTGGTCATATGGGTGTTTCAAAAACCGCTACTAAGGTTCTTCAAAGTGGTTTATGGTGGCCACATATCTTAAAGGATTCTTGGGGCTTTGTCAAGTCATGTGATCGATGTCAAAGAGTTGGGAATATCTCCAAGCGGAATGAGATGCCTCAACAACCTATTCTTGAGTTGGAGGTGTTCAATGTATGGGGGATTAAATTCATGGGACCATTCCCTTCTTCATATAGGAATCAATACATTCTTGTGGTGGTGGACTATGTTTCTAAGTGGGTTTAAGCCATTGCTTCCCCAACAAATGACCACAAGGTGGTATTGAAATTGTTCAAAATAATCATCTTCCCAAGGTTTGGTGTGCCTAAGGCGGTGATAAGCGATAATGGTTCTCATTTTGTTCACAATGCCTTTCAAAATATGTTTAGAAAACATGGGGTTCATCACAATGGTTTGGCCTTCCATATCATCCTCAAACAAGTGGCCAAGTCGAGGTCTCAAATTGTCAAATCAAGCTTATTCTTGAGAAGTTGGTTGCAAGAAATAGAAAGGTTTGGTCGGACAAGTTGGATGATGTTCTTTGGGCCTATAGAACAGCTTTTAAGACACCTATAGGCACCACTCCTTATCGCCTTGTCTATGGCAAATCATGCCATCTCCCGGTAGAGCTTGAGCACCGTGCTTTGTGGGAAATCGAGAAGATAAATTTTGATTTGGCAAGTGCGGGGGAGAAAAGGTGGTTGGATCTTCATGAGCTAGAGGAGCTTAGACTTGATGCTTACGATTGTGCTAGCACTTATAAAACTCGTTCCAAGGAATCTCACGACAATCTTATTGAGGAGAAAGTGTTTTGTGTTGGGGACAAAGTCCTCCTCTACAATTCAAGAATGAAGTTATTTCCCGGAAAGCTCATGTCTAGATGGAGTGGCCCTTTCTTGGTGAAAGATGTTTTTGATAATGGTGTCGTGGAGATTTCTCCTTTGGATTCCTCGTCTACTTTTAAGGTTATTGGTCATCGGCTCAAGGAATATTTTGATGGAGTGTTCATTGGTCTTGTTCACAAAATGATTCTCTTTAAGCCACCCTGAATGGGTGGTAAACGTCGAGCTAACGACGTTAAACGAAAGCGCTTACGGAAGGCAACTCGGATTCTCACCTCTTTTCTTTCCTTTCTTTTATTTTTCTTTGTTGATTTTTGTTCTTACCTTTCCTTATGCTTTTGGTTTTTTTTTTGTTACCTTCAATCATCAACTTTGGACTTAAGGTGTTTGATGAGAATGGAAAAAGAAGGATTTGGAATGTAGGGGAGAGGGCACCACGTGGGCTTGGAGATGCCTCGGGTGCACTTTTCTTGAAAGAGGCCAAAACCGATCAGTTTTAACCTGTGGTTGCCCCGCAGTCTCCCTGCGTGCGCGGGTGGCATAGAGAGGCCTCGGGTGATTAAGAGAGGGGGCGGCTAATTTTGCCAAAATCGATCAGCTTGGACCTGCCCCAAGGGCTTCCCGCGGGCGCGGCAAATTTTGAGAGGGTGCGGCCCTTTTGGAGAGGGCGTAGCCCCATTAACATGTAAAATTGAGCATTTTTGGTAGTTTGGGCCCGCGGTTGCCCCACGGCCTCCCCGCGGGCGCGGGTGATTATGCTCGGGCGCGGCACTACCGGGAGAGGGCGCGGCGTTCTGGTTCACTTAAACACTCGGATTGCTCCTCTCTCTCTCCTCTCTTACTTTTCACTCTCCTCTTGTTTTTCCCCTTTCTCTCTCTTCCTCCTCTTAAAGCCTAACCCCAAATCATCATTCTCACACAATTCTTCCTAGTTTTCACTCAGATTTCCATCACATTTTCCATGTTACTCCATTTTCATCAACGTTAGTCTCTTTTCTCGTGGTTTTTCCGGAAATTCGGGTCCTTGAAGCAATTTTGAGCTTTGTTTGAGTCCCCAATCTTGGTATACTCCTAACCTTTGTTTATTTTTGTCAATTTCAATTGATTATTATACATTGGTTTTGATTTCCCTTTAATTGAGCATGACTATGATGTTTATGGTTATTTGTATGGTAAATTTGTAAATATTTTGAGTAATTGATGATTATTTTTGATATTGATTGTTAATGTTGTTGATTGTTGTTTGGATTTTGGTTGTTGTGTTGCTTGTAACAGGTACTTTGTAATTATGGTGGTTTTGGGTGGTGTTGTGAAGTAGTTTGAAGTATTTGTGGTAGTGTTGGTATTTGGGGTGATTGAGTTGTTTCTTGTGTTGACTAATTTGGTGATTATGGATTTTTTAAGAAGGGGTAAGAGTAGCAAGAAGCAATCTAACCAATCTCGCGGCCAATCCTCCCAAGGCCAATCCTCTCATGGCTAACCTTCAAATACCGAACCTCCTAACAACCAAACTCCTCAAGATGATGCCCCACCTCTTCCTTTACCCCCTCTCAAATTTCACAATCGGTCTAAACAAGTTCCAATCTATAACAAAATGAAAACCCGAAAGTGTAGACCAACCCGCAACTATCTTCAGGAAGATATGGTCAAGTTAGGAGTTGATTCCGATCTTGACATCCTCCTCCGTACCCTTTGTTTAGACAATTTTGTCAAGTCTTCTCCTAGAACCTATTTGGAACCTTGCAATAAGTTTTTCTCTACTTTTGAGTATAATAGGGTGGGGGATACCGACTTTATCATCTATTTCCAACTATTCAATGTCAAGCATACCGTGAACCTTGCCGAATTTAATGAAGCCCTTGGTTTCAATCCCAATGCCGATATCTTTGAGCCCTTGGTTTCCCTTATCAAGTCTGATTACAATGAGTTTACATGGTGAAAAAACATTGCTCATAAAAGGGCGTTTGACTCTAAGGTGTCGCTTGCTAGTGAGATTATTCACCCAGCCCTTAGGATTCTTTGTAGGGTTCTTGGCTATGCCGTGTTTAACAAGCAAGATCTTGGGAAACTTTCGAGGGAGGAGATCATGATTCTTTGGATGGCCACAAAGTTGTATTTGGGGCCGAGGGTGAATTTTAGGTACATTTTTATGAAGTGTTGCAAGGCAATCATTAGTGGGAACAAAACGGGTGAGAGACATTGTGGAGGTATGATTACGAGATTGGTGTATCATTTCAAGCAAGAAGGGTTCTTGAAGTCTTGCACTCCGGTTGGAGGGAGTGAAGACGTGTCACTACATTTGAAGCAACTTAACACTTTGCACTTCATTATTAGTACTAAGAGAGCCGGTGTTTATTCTTAGCTAGTGCGTAATGAGCACCATTGTTTACTCCCAAACCCGGTCGCCTCCTCCATTACTCCATATGCTAGGAATGTTTGGATGATTCCTAAGGACAATGGGCGAATTGAGGACGATATGGATAGGAGGATGATGATGATGTGAATGAGGGTGGTGGTGATGATGATGATGATGATGATGAGGGTGGAGAAGGGGGAGAAGGAGAAGAAGAGAAACTACAACAATAACAACAACAACTACTACAACAACAACAACAACTTTAAGAAGAAGAACAACGAAGAAGAAGAAGAAGACAACAACAACAACAACATGACTACCAAGGAGATGCCTATCTCCGTGAGATGGAGGCTATGCGAGATCATATGGAGCGCATGCAAATGAGCACGCAAGGTATGTATTCCGACCATGAGGCTCTGTCTTTTCAAACTAGCGCCATATATGACGCTAGTGTGCGTAGGGGGGAGGTCACTCCTCCGGTGAACTACCCGTATGTGCCGCCCCTATAAGGGCTTATGCCATCTCGGGGTGGTGACAACCTCCCTACGTAACCTTATTGGCCCGGGGTTACAAACCCCGATGAGCCACAGCGCAATTTCCCCGATGAGTTTGGTCATTATGACTACCGGGTTTCGGGGGGGAGTGATTATAGGGGTGACCCCGATTACTAATATGTTCAACACACTCACCCAGAGCTCTGTATTCAGCCCGAGCCTTTTGACCAATTTTTCACATCCCAACTTGACCTTTCCTCCCGGTTTTACCGAAGGTTGGGATCTGGGTGATGATGGTGTCGGCTCTAGTGGCCAATAGTTCCCTTGGTCGTTTGATTCCCTTTTTGTTTTTTCCCCTTTAGCTTTGCATGTTTATGAGCATTGCGGTCGATGCCTTTATTTTGTGAGGGTAGGTTTTGGAGGAGGCACCTTGGACTCATGGGGATGTGTTTGAAAAGGCTTAGGTGGATTGTCTTGCTTCGCTCCTGGTAGTCTAGTTGGTATGATGTTTGTCTTGTTGTCTTGATTTTGATGATGATGATGTTTAGGGGTTTCTTTTGATAATAATGATGATGATGGTTTCTCTAGGTTTTTGTACATAGTTTTCAAGTAAGCTTTCTTTTGTTTGCTTTTGTTTGGAAGTTACTAAAAATTTCATTTTGTATATAATCCTTTTCTTTTTCTCACCTTTCTCGTAGCGTATGCTTTGGTCTTTGGAGCTTCTTGAAGGAGGTCATTCTTGCACTTTGATTATTGTAGCATAGCTTGGACGCTTGGTGAAACCCTTCTTGTTTTATCTTTTTACTTTTATCCCTTTACTTTTCTTGGTTGCTTAGATTAGGATTATCTTTAGGGGAGTTGAACGGTTTGAGGATGTATGATTATAACACCTAGTGTGTTTGAGGTCTTTGGTGATGTGGCCATTTTACCGCTTGTATGTCGATTGCGAAATACGTGTTATGACTGCATCTTTGCCTCTTTTCTTTGTTCTCCTACTTTTCCTCTATCTTTGCTTTCCAACTTTTATTCTCTTTTCTTTTCTTTTCTTTTCTTTTTGTTCTTGGTTTTGTACATAGCGTTTTGAGGCTTTATTTTTCACTCTTTCAATTTTGAATTGGACTCTTGCTTTTGAATAATAATTTTCCTAGGTAATAATGGTATGCACGGTTTAGGATTACGTTTGGTTGATTCTAGGATAAAGCATGCTAAGGTAGTTGTCTAGAACAAGGGGGATCATGAAGTCGGATTCTACTTGTTTGTGGCATGTTTGGTAGTTGCTACCTATCTTCGATTTGACAACCTTAGTGATTTTTTGCTACCACCATGTGAGATTCATACTTTTTCAAGCTTTCAACATATTCTTGCATGAGCGGCATGGATCCTTGACTTTCGCAAACCTAATCTAGAATCTTTACGTATGATTCCTGAGACTGAGACCGAACCACCTGGGGAGGACAAAGGCATCTTTTCGAGGAGGTATTTTTCCTTTTTCTAGGAAGTTTCCTTATTTTTACTTTTGGTTTTTGGGATACATTTGCCTACTTTCTAGCCCTTTGAGCCTTTTTCCCTTCTTTTCAAGCCACATCTATAGATCTTGAGCCTTTTGTTTCATTTTCGTTTTCATTCTTGGTTTTTGTGAAGCTCTGGTCATTGTTGTTGGAGATTGTGGTCTATAAGTTTGGATCTCGGTTCGAGTTTGTGAGCAAGTTTTTTTTGTATATACATTGTGAATAATGGCAAATGACTAGTAAAAAGCCGTCCCAATTTAAAAAGGCAAGGACAAAATAAATGCAAATTTGAAAATAAAAGTCGTCCAAAGTCAAAAGATGCGAGGACTAATGCTTTGAACAAGTGAAGGATAATCCAAAAAAAATTGAAAATGAGAACAATGCAAAAAAAAAAATTAAAAAAAAAAGAGAAAAACTTAAATATTCAAGTTAGTGTCTTTCTCCCTTTTGTGCATTGAGGACAATGCTTCTTTTAGCTTGGGGGGAAAGCGTTTGCGCTTTTTGTTTATATGATTGTATATTGTTGCTTTAAATAAGCTTGGGGGTGTTGGTATTTTTTTTTGGTGATTGCTTGGTTATGGTGTAAAGAAATGCGCAATCTTTGCTTCACAATTTAGGTTAACCACCAAATTTTATATTTAGCCTACCTTAACCCTTTTTGCCTTACGTTACAACCTTTGGGAAGACCTTTTGACCTAGGGGTTGAGTCATTCATCGGTGGAGGGAATCATGGGTTATAGCCTAAGGAAAGGGGATGCGTAGTCAAGATGTCGAGTAGCCTAAAATTTGATCTTTTTCCGGTTCCTTTGCTGAACCTATGAGAGCTCACTAAGGGGAGATATGGGATTA